GAGGCTGTGGAGGCCCTGAAAACAAGCAAAGCACCACGAGAAAGGGTACAAACGTCTGTGGAACGGGAGGGCACTGAAGCGCTCTGGGAAGAGTGGTGAGAAATGGCAGGCAGGAGAGGAAGGGTGAGAGCAGATGGGGCAGGGAAATGAGATGCGATGCTGCGGGAGAGGGGCGCTCCCGTGGTTCTCAACAACTCAATATAGAAACACAAAACTTTCCAGAACTACTGGGGCCTTACAGGTCAGCGAATTCAACCACCACCACCGACTCCGTTTACTGATACGGAGGCTGACGTCAAAGAAGCACACACAAAGTCACAGCGCGAGAGATAGTGACAAGGGTCCAGAGGTAGGGCCCAGAGTCCCAGAAAACCAGTTTAGTGCTCTTTCCCCTAGACCATCTCACCAGCCTGTTTTTTTTTTTTTTTTGTACTGGGAATCAAACTCAGGACCTCGTGCTTGCCAGGCAGGCACAGCCCCGCTGAGCTATATTCCCAGCCCCAGCCTGGTATTTTGACACAAAAGCAGACAGACCTGGCAGCAGAGGCAGGGGGTAAGAGACAGTACAGGTTAGGAGCTGAAAACACTAGCACCGGGGAGTTGGTGGAGAGAAGATGTAAACAAACGGGAAGGGTGGGCCGGGTGTGGGAACCCCCAAGGGGCAAGAAACGAGGAGGCTTCATAGGAAAGGGGGCACGGCAGCGAGAGAGAGCGTGCGGAGACAGTACACACGCGGGGGATTTCTCCCGGGCACACAGCCACACTGCCCCCTTCCCCCAGCCCCAAAGGCAGCAGGCAAAAATTCATACAACGAGGCTTACTGTCGGCTCCCCACCCCTTTCCCCCCCTTGACAACCTCCACACCGAACCTCGCCTCTGTGGCTCCTGCTTGACACTTTAGGACCTTTGGTTTGCATCTGGTGTACAGATGTATGTATCTGGATGATTCGTTCTGAAACAAAACCCAAACCGAACCTAAGAGTATGGACTCCGCCTGGGGATACAAGAGCCTACGGGGCTAGAACATGGTGTGGGTTTTGATTTTTGGTAGGACGAGCAGGGAAATCAGAGCAAGAAAGTGGGAAACTGTCTCTCATCACCTAGGTCCACGCTGGCGTGAAAACACGAGGCTACGTGTCCCAGAGCGCGAGCGCGAAGGCTGAAGAAAGATTTCTTGGAAATGAGATGCAGCTTAGCGCACCCAGAGTTAGAGACTCCTAGGAGCAGCTGCAAGGATGAGAACTCTGGCTTTTATTTAGCATATCGGTGTAAGAGGGAAAAAAAAAAGAAGAAAAGCAGTTTGGGAAAGGAAGTGTCTCAAGACGAGGCAGTTTTTTGGGGAAGGGGAAAGACAGCGGCCAGATACAACATGCTTCATTAATGTAAACTTTTTGTCGTTTAACCATTCACACCTCACAGAGGCTGCATGCTTTTACCCGCAGTTTAACCATTCCCCCCTCGGCCAAGTCCCCCACAGGGAGCAGCTGAGGGGCAGCTAGAAGGCTAACTCGAGGAGGGTAATCACGAAAGTACATGCTAGAATGAGAAGTTAAACCAAGACCACCTGGGTCCTTACACCCACCCTCGTTGGTAAGGAGGGCCAAGTGAAATAATACTAGTAATGGCTAATATTTATTGAGCCCTTAGATAGCCACTGTGCTAATCCTGTACTATTTTATTTAATGATCACAGCAACAGTATGAGGTAAAGAGAATTCTCAGTTTACAAATGAGGAAAACAGAAGATAGATGATAATAAATTAGCATAATGTGACAGGCCTAGCAGTGTTTGAACTGCCTGATTTTGAGGACCATATTCTTTTTTTTTTTCTTCCCCGGTGTCGGGAATTGAACTCATGACCTCACACTTGCCAGGCAGGCGCTGTGCCGCTGAGCTAAATCCCCAACCCCTAGGACCATATTCTTTTTTGTCTTTTTGAGACAGGGTCTCGCTATGCAGTCTCGCTATGAGCCAGCCTTGAGCTCACTTTGTAGTCCAGGCTGGTCTCAAATTTACAACAATCCTCCTGCCTCAGCCTCCTGAGTGCTGGGATTACAGACATGCGCCACCACACCCGGCTCCTTTTTTGTCCTTTTGAGACAAGGTCTAGCTATGCAGTTCAGGCGGGCCTTGACCTCATTTTGTAGCACAGGTTGGTCTCAAACTCACAAGGATCCTCCTGCCTCAGCCTCCCAAGTGCTGGGATTACAGATGTGTGCCACCACGCCTGGCTTGGGAAATTCTTGCTGGGAGCCTGATTAAATCACTTCTTTAAACTTCTGTTTCCTGATACATAAAATGAAGCTAATGCCACCTGATCACATGGGGTTACTATGGGAAGCATGTATGCATAAAAAGCACCAAATATGATCCCTGACACATAGTATAGGTCCAGGAGATGTTGGCTATTATTACTGTTGCCATCATCATCATCATTTTGCCATGCAGTTATGATCAGTGACACTTTGCCATGCAGTTACAGCCCCTGCATCTGACTGAAATGGGACAGCGAACTTCCTAATGAGGACGAGTCCCAAGTATAGTACGGCTTCTTTTGTTCCTGTCACTCTGTGGACCTCGGGATAAGTGGTACCTCAGAAGAAAAAGGGGCAGAGGAAGGTCTTTAAGAGGCCACAACATGGAGTTGGAATCCATCATCTGGTTTTTGTTTTTTGTCTTTTTGAGACAGGGTCTCACTATGCAGTTCAGGCTAGCCTCATACTCACAATGATCCTCCTGCCTCAGCCTCCTGAGTGCTGGGACTACAGGCATGCACCACCACGTCCTGCCATCACCTGACATTTTAAGAGCCCAATAAATAGTCTTCTTGAAGAAGGGTAAGAGGAAAAGCCGTGTCAGGACACAGTGCAAAGGCATGAGGACAGTGTTGGGGACACAGCAGGAACCCAGCTTGTCTTAGGACGACACGTCCAGAAAGTAGAGGGATGCGGAGACTCACCCCACCCTAGATGTACTTCTCTTCTTGACACAGCCTCTCGCGCCTTCACAGCATTCTGTTAGGAGCCTCTGGGCTGGAGGATGAGAAGAGGCAAAAGAAACCGACACATCTTCTGGGAAAAGATTCATTACAATCGAATTTATTAACACAGGGCAGCTAGTATGAGAATCACCTTGCTTACACAAAGGCAATCAGCATGGCATGGTGGCACATGCCTGTGAACCTTCTGGGAGGCAGACATGTTTGAGCCCAGCCTGGGAAACTTTCAGCCTGTCTCCAAATTCTAGGCAGCCAGAGGAGGGATCATAAGTTCCCTGCACTGAAGGTGACACAGTTTAGTAGCAGAAGAGTCCCCAGAGCTCTCCCTCAACCACTGCCCAGGTTCCTTTACGCACAGCCTCAAATAACAGGACTGACTTCTCAGTCCCCTGCACATCAAGTGTTACGATGTCAACAGGGAGGGCTGCCAGCGGCTGGTACATAAAAGGTTCTGAAGAGTGACAGCAGGCAACCTGGCCACAAGGGAGACGACACGAACCGTGAAAAGCAATGGAAAGAACTAAGCGGGCAGCTGCTGGGAGCCACATGGTAAAGGCGCAAACAGCTATCCACACCTTCACAGACCAGAGGGCATCGCCTCTCTCACATGAAACACGGTCACAAATGTTTTAGCCCTCTAGGGATGGCACAGGATATCAGGGATGGCCATATGACATGCTTTGGCTTATGAAATATGAATGGAAAAAATGAGTGCCACTTCTAGATAAAATCTTTTATAGCTGGTAGATGCCTCACCATGTGGATGGGTCAGCTTTCCTATCGCTGGAACAAAAAACCCGACCACATCCACAATGTAAAGGAGCAGAGGATTATTTTGGCTCCTAGCTGCAGTGGGTTCAGCGGTCACCCAGCTCCAAAGCAGAGTGGCTCAGTAGAAGCGCCTGGTGGAGAAAAGTTGCTCACGTCACGGCGGCCAGGACACAGAGAAAAATGAAGAGCAAGGGACAAAAATACAACCTTGCGGGTTACGCCCCCAGTGCCTCACCTCTTCTGACCAGGCCCGGCCTACTAACAGCACATTCAGTTACCGAGCTCATCACTGATAAACCCACTGATGAACATAGCATCCCCGCGATCCAATCATCATCCAGACAAGTGAGATTAGTGGGGGATGATTTAGATACAAAGGGTACCATGCTTTCTTCCAGTGCTACATGGTGACTGCCGATGCTTGCCCGGAGTGGCAGCTGCACCAGCCTGGGTCCCAGAGTGAATAAACATGACACAGAGCATGACCTACAGATGTTCTTTAGAGGACAAGCAGCATGGGCAAGATACAAACTTCCGTTGCTTCGGGGGTTGCTTGTTATACCATATAATTTAGTTGATTGACACATTCTAAAAAGCTACATGAGGTCAGTTCACTTTAAGTATGTGGGGGAAAAAAGCGGAGGAGAGGCAGGAGTGGGGGGAGGAGGAAGGTGGAGGTGGGA